CAAATACTTCATAATGAGTGGTATTAATGGCAAATAGTGATGATGAATCGATACGCAATGTTTGTTGGTGAAATAGCATCGATGAAATTTCGATCAAAATTGATCGGCAGATTATTTTGATCTATTCCGATATTTAACTGAGGATTTTCTTAACCGGGCTTGGTGCAACGGGCCCATGGTCAAATTTCGTGTCGAAATTTACTTGCATTTGTTTGTCTGAAGCAAATTGGATTGGCAGAATTATATTTCTTCTCAGTGAAAAATTTTTGGCATGCACCTAAGTAAAATCATTCTGTATTTGAATAAAAGTTCCATATGCATTTTGTATTCCAAATAAATCCTGAAAATAGTTGGCCGATACAATGACCCCACTTCACTGCGCTCCAGCATCATTTTTCAGGAATTCTTTGCTCAGACTAGTGTTTACGTCTTCCCAGGTGGGATCGATCACGGCACCCCCTCTGCTGTTCTCCTTCTCATGGAGATCTCTAAGAACTAGCCGAAAAGAAAATGTGAGGGACAGATGAAAGGTAAATAAATTCAATTGTTTTCTTCGCCTTTTCCTCTACTCGTGTCAACAATCCAAAATTCTTATTTTCAATTTTTTATCAGTAATTGGTGATTGGGGTTCCTGTGGCAATGTCCGTTATATCTTTCCTCCAGGTAACTTATGACGGAACGTCTGAGATCTACTGGCTGCCACCCTCCGTACCATGCTAATGTATTTCTACACACACTTGACAAACAATTGATATACACCCTAAACTACTTTCTTGAAGCCACAAACCGTAGAATATTATTAATTATTAACCGCCTTAAATTCGATTTATATTGAATGTAAAGTGCTACGGAAAGCAATAACAGACTGTACTGTTTAACACATATACTTATTTCATTTTGTTTTGTACAACAATTCGTTTGTCAAATTCGACAATGCACATACTGCAGAATAAATTGTAAATTTTAAAATGCCTATCAATAAAAAAATTGTCGACTGGGGTTTTTAAAAATCGGCTGTTCAAACATCAGCAAAATATTCCAGCACATTTATTAAATTCAAATGAATTATGTCTGAAGCCCAATATAACGTCACTATTATTTCAGTCATTTAATGGAGGAATCATCACGAATTTGGAGTAAGCAATTACTAGCGTTTAGGAAATCCTTAACAACGTTTTGATTCTACATATAAAAAGATACAATTTTCATGATTTTGATAATTATTTATTTCCATCCATGATGGGACAAAACATTCTGAGAATTTCAATGATTCCCCCGATTTTAGCGACCAACTGCCAGCAATCTATTTTTCAACGATCATTTCGTTTTGCTCAATTTTGAAAATTAATACATGAACGTTAAAATTGATGACTTAAATTACTGAAGGCCGGGCTATGCGTTTCATTGGCTATTACAGTTACACGCATTCGCATTGCTGTCATAGTGAAATTGCTTCGGCCTGATATTCTCCGTCGTACACTGGCCATAACACTCCTTCATTTTCTCCAAGTTGTTCAAATATATGTTCAAGATTATCTCGTTTTCATTATTACTGTAAAATAATATATTTATGGTCATTTGATCACGGTACCTCAAAGTTTCAAATACTTAGAAAATTCCTGACATGAACTCTTTCTCGATGGGTGAGACAAAGAATTAAAAGATGGAAGTAAGTCGGAATATTTTTCACACAACAAGGCTCTAGGATTCAATGCATGGTTTTTGAATCGAAAACTTTTTTCATCGGATGAAAAAATCTTTCCCTCTTTGAAAACAACACAGTGAAATTCTACCCCTAATTGCAGGAAATATTCGTTTAACCCAGTAATTTTCGAAACGTGGAAATTAGTTTAACGGAATTTAACTGAATTACATCTGATCGAATAGGATCTGAAAAAAAATTTTTCTTTGCGAATGAATAATATCAAAAATGACGCATTGTAGCGATTATCGATGGAACCAGATTAGAATGAGTTATTTTTGAGATTATCCATTCCTGTTGCAAGAATCTTTCGATTAGTTTCAATTTTCTGAAACTTTGCCTCGCCCCTAAAGAAGAAAATTTGTGGCAAGAATTTGTTTCTTTTGAGAAATCTTTTTTTTAAGTGGATACGTCTATGATTTCATTATGGGGGGTCATTTTGGGAAACGGTCTTTATGGGTAGTGCCGTCTATCGAAATTCGAGAAAATTCAGAGCGTTTCTAGAAAATTCAAGGAAATCCAAAGAGTTTCCAGATAATTGGAAAGAATTCAAGGAGTTTATAGAAAATTCTAGGAAAGACGAGGAGTTTCTCAAAATTTTGAGGGAATTCGAGGAGTTTCTGCAAAATCTAAGGGAAGGCAAGTTTGTAGAAATTTCAAGAGAATTCAGGGAGTTTCTAGGAAATTCGAGAGCGAAGAAAAGACCATGGACGTATCCACTTACAATTACAGCTGTATCAAACATACAGCCGCCTGCAATTTTTCTGAACGGACTCATCGACTCACACGCAATAACATCTTGGTCCGCTTCTGTCGTAGAAAACATAATCTACAGTGGCTGGATCATCCACCTGATAACACCATTCAGAGCAGATCTCCCTAGCCTCATCAAATGTGCCATCGACTTCGATGGCTTCATCAAAGACCGTCTCATCCGCTGCAGTCCTGGAAATTAGTAGATTCATTCATCAGTGATTGTAGAATCCCAGAGCTGGCAATTCGTTAATTTACCTGCACGTGCACATGTTCCCGGCCCTGGTGTAGATGAAACGCGTAGAGTTATCCATCTTAGCGAAACACATGTCAGCGCAGGCGGATACACCCTGTTTCCCGGCATACTTTATCATTTCACTACTCAAGTCTGCAGAATAAGATAGAGATTTGATTGAGAGATATTCGACACAGTATAAATGCGCACTGCGATTTAAATATTTTGGGACTGAACGGCATTTTGGAGAAATCTGAGGATTCGTGGAATGTGACATTATGTCGAAGATAAATAAATTTGTTACGATTCCGATCAAATGATTTTTATGGTGGAAAATTGATTATAGAAATAATTTATAAAAAATGCTCATGATCTTCAAAAATTGCAATTTTCTAATTATTTCATCAATCTTTCTCCATTAGCCCGGTGGCCTGGCGTAGTGGTTAAGGCCGTTGCCTCACAACGGATAGGTTCCAGGTTCGATTCCTGGCCGGGGAGAATGGTGAGATCTAACCATTTTTAAAGTCTTGATCAATCGCCATATAGTCTCATCAGACTCGAAGCGATATAAAATAAGCATAAAAAAAAAAAAAATCTTTCTCCATCTTTCTCCATAAGTAAATTTTCTGTTTATTTCAAATTTTTAAAATGTTTTCTAACAATTCAATATCGTAATTCAAATTCAGACCTGCAAAGTTTAAATAACAAAATCATTTTATTCATAAAATTCATTCATATAGCATAAAATGATTAACGCTCTGAGGTGAATGGGCGTTTACCCCACTCTATGCCATTTCGGTGAGGCGTAGCCTACAAAGCATGGTGGTGACCACGACGCCAGTGTCGGCTCAGCAGAGTCTCGGACAGGCTAAATTGATTCCACTGTACCGGGGAACTATGGCGCCCTAGAAGTGGCACTGTTACGTCACTGTGTGACGGCTAAGGGCGCGGGCAATCGGCTGACTCCCCTCCGCACTGAGAAAAAAATCTCCCAAAAATTAGTGTGCTGTCCCCTAACGCCGGGACATAACAGGGGGTCGTCGAAAAATTCATAAGTGGCACCCTAATTTTTGGTGGGACTCCGGCCACTTTTTCGGGGGATTCCCGTAAACATCAGTGTGCCACATGCGAATTCTCCGATGACTCCCTGTTATGTCCCAGCGTTGGTGAACAGCACACTAATTTTTGGAAGGATTCTCACAAAATTACGATGTATTTTTTTCTCCGTGCGGTAGAAAAAGACTACTGTGAGTCAGACTTTCATCTTAGAGGGTGGTCACCTTGATCCACCTAGCCGCAAAACTTTGCAATACCGTTCCGGATAGTTTTAATAATTTAAAATATTATAGGTTGGCTTACCTGAGTTGGCGGTGCAGAGTCCAACGAAGAGAAAGACAGTCAGGTTCAGGAGCTGCATGGTTTTCGAATTCTAGCGCCCGACTCTAGTCGACCCGATTCTAGTTCCCGAATGATATTGATTCGAAATTGAGTGTGACCGTTCTAATAATTTGAGCGCTATATAAAGGCCTAGAAAATTTTACCCCCGCTAGTGCGGGTATTGTCAGAAATACATGATCATTAGAGGGGAAAGTCATTAAAAAAATAATCAAGTTGGAGATGAGAGTGAGACAGCAGATCTAAAATCCAAGGTTAATCGAAATTTCGATATCTTAATGATATGGTCTTCCGAAATTATGATATTTTAAAGGTCCGAATGTTGGGAAATTTCCATATCTTGATGGGATCTTAATGAATAAAATTTTGAGCTTACATGACATTGTTGTGACGAAGATTAGGAAAATTGATAGGGTATGCCGGTCCTTGGTTGCTGGGCCAGTTTCTCCTATACTTGAACACACTGTTTGGCCAGCGGCAAAGATCATACTAGACTTGACTTGTTAAATCTAGTAAACTTTAGTACTTTAGTAACCTTGGTTGTGGCCGCAAGTTTTTAATCAGCCTTGGGCTATCGCTGGGGGGCTTTCAGCCGCATAATCAACATCTTCAAATTTACTTGTTAATTGTCATGAACCAACGGGGAGGACTCTCCCAGTATTCACAACGATTACGACTTGAACCCCGGAATATCTCCAGCAAAACCAGGTATGGGCATGAGGATCTGTCTCTCTCGAGGGAAATGCCGAAAGGAAGAGGGCAGTTCGGCCATTTATCCGTGCGTCTATACACAGAAATCCCCTAACGTACGTGTGGGAACACCTCCAAGTGTTGCGTGCCATAAAAAATCGTAAGAATTGGGTGTGGATGCAAATAAATCATAACTCTACAATTTTTTATTCCAGAATTTTTTATTTCATTTTTTTATTCTTTCTTACTAAACCAAGGAGCGTCCATCAATTTATTTACCAAATAGAGAGAGAAAAAGAAATATATAATCAATATACAGAATTACAGTACAGTGGTTCTGATGAATTGCACAAAAATAAGTGGTAAAGGCTGATTTGCTCGATCACATATTATAGCATTAGAGTTTGTAACGCCGAGATTAATGAGAATTTAAAAAATAAAAACTTAGGGAATAGAATAAAATGCCTCGATAAAGGAGAAAATCATCTCGAGTTTAATCACAAATGGATAGAATGTGTTTTGGAAAAGAAAACTGTTACAGAAAGCAAGTTTCATAGGGAATTAAAATGAAGTAGCAACTCGCTTTCGCTTTCCTCCATCCTACTTTTTTCACCACTCTCATAAAATGTCAAACGATCAACAGCTAACAATCCTTATGGAGAAAAAGTATCACTTTGTATCCTCATCTGGTACGAAACAGCCATTATTTACATGTTGAATAAGGCTTCCGATTACTTTGAATGATTCATCACGAATGAGTAATTTTATTATTATTTTTGTTGTGTTTTATTTAACGTTATGCATCAGAGAAAGTTGAAGGAATGCACCCAAATGATGGGAATTGTAAGTTTTGTCTGCTTGATAATCTAGCAGGCACAGTCGCAGGCACAGCGACGAGTTCTCTTGTCACGTGGGTGGGCCAGGGCGTCAGGAATTGAACGCACTGAGCGTGGCTGGACATCTGGAGAGATAAATACCAAAATCAAAGTTCAATATCTTCAGAGTAAAAATTCCGAATCATAAATTGAATTTTTTAATATTTCGGTCGCAATAAAACTGAAATATTTAATCGTGCTCTTTTTCGTTCACCGGATAATCTTGCGAGTATAGAAATGAACATAAGCGAATTTTTTCCTACACATTCTGTCTACGCGCTCACGGATTTACACGTGTGACCAGGGTAAAGAGCTGAAGAATCACTCGGTGAAGCCGAAACACGGGAATTCCCGTGACAAAAATTTCAGTCCTGGATGTTCGATGAAGAAAAGAACGTAGTCGGCTCCCTCCCATTACTGGGCCTTGACCGATCGGTAAATCGTGTGAAGTTTGAGTGATAACATCACAAAAATCATTTCTTAAGCGAAAAACATTGCATTCATATTTAATCAATTTATGATAGGTTTCAGACAAGAAATCCGCGCTCTTCCGGTTAAAAAGGAAGTTACTGAATGATAAGATGATGCCTTTTTTCGCAATGAGACAATATTCCTTAAAAGACGAAAAGTTAAACAAAAGGAAAACAAGATATCGCTTTCCTTCGAACTCAAAGCGATTGAGCGTAAGGGACGGTTATATTATTTTTAATATCTGGAGGTTCTCCTCTGCATAGACTCTCTATTCATTCAATATGAAAGTCTCTGCGTCATAATCCACTGAATCGAAGCTTTTAGTATTTTTAGTCATTTTCTCATCTTCTGACACGAAAAAACCGATTTCTTGTGGCAAGAAATTCTCATTTTATCATGAAATGTTCATGTTCAAGTCATAAACACTTCACTGAAATTTGACATTGTCTGACACATTATCCGGAATTCTTCTCCCAAGTAATTTATTCTCAAGTAATGAGATGTTTGACGCAAGAAATAAGTTTTGTGATATTATGACGATATTTCTCTCACTGTAAAAGAAACCTATCGACAAACTGCCCACCTTCGTATGTCGATCAGACTAGAGCATATCGGAATCAAAATTCCGAAACGGATGCCCTGACGGGCACCTTATTGAACGTGAGCCGTCCTCTCATTATTAAAAATAAATAATTGAATACTCACAGTGGGGACGTTTGTCTTCACTCTCCTCCGGCTGCTCGCCGAGAGCATGCGCCGGAGGCTGCTGAGGAGCCTGGTGTTCCTCCTGCTGCTGCTCCTTATTCTCTTCACCTCCTGCAGCCTCAACAACTCGTGCACTGACCTGCATGGGTACTTCGAAAGATTCAACAGGTCTCATTGGCATCGAGAATCGTGGAACTGGGAAAGCACGACCCTCCACTATCTGGTGGATAAAGTTCCTGACGTCAGCAGGCACCGGGAATTTCTTCTCCTCTTCCTCTCCTTGGTCTTCAGGTCCTGGGAAGGGTTTCGCTTGTTCCTGTTGCTCCTCTGAGTCTTCTTGACGACGTCCCTCGATGTTATCGTGCTCCAGGAGATTTCTCACTTCAATCGGAAGCATCAGAGAGTCCAGGGGGATGGGGCGCGGACCTTCTGGGAAGGGCTTGAACTCTTGAACTGGCTGAAAGGGTGAATAAAAATCACACAGGGTGACGTCAGCACCTTGTTTATAAATTGTGATGAAATATAGAATGGGAAATCAGTAATTCAAAGGCATAAAAATTATGGAATTATGATGACAATTTCCTCAATTCTGATTTTGACCAATCAGAGTGCAGTATTCTGAGTCACGTGACGCGTTTCACACTGATAATTTCTCCGGCTGCAGGGAAATTATCAGACTAATAATTTATAGCCTGTAGCCTGTCAAGTGTTTTCTACGAATTTGATAATTTCGAAGGTCTTGGGGTATTATAACTGATAAATTTTTGAATAGTGAGCGTTAGAATTCTTCATTGATTTACTCAATAACATCATGGTAGTCTCCCGCCATGCCGCCATGATTGAAAATGGCGATGGTACGACCATTATGGCGATATTTACTGCGATGATTTTAGCGGCACTATGCGGGATAGTTGGAGCACCATTATGTACGATAGTTTGAGCAATGTTCATTGCAGCCATGAACCGATAATTTTATCAACATGAAGAGCGATATTAACTATCATATCAAGTTCCATTACAACTGCGTCGTCGTTTCCAAACATGGCGGTAGTCAATCGCAATGTAATTGGCTGAAGTATTGGAAAATTCTAACGTTCACGATTTGAAAACCTATTGCCGGAATTTAATCATTTTTGTACCATTGAATTTCCGATTCGGGTTAAGTCGATTTTGACTATTGGCCAGTTTTTGACGAATATCTCGGAATCTAACAGAGATAGAAAAATTTTTGTCACAACCTTTTATATAGAGCCAATTGAGAGTTATAAAAAAGGTAGTGAGGAAAATTTTGGTATCTCTCTTAGATTCCGCGATATTCATCAAAAAAAGAAATAAATTGACTTTCATATTTTATCGTGCAAATATCTTCAGAAGCCATAAACAGAGAATATTAGAAAACCTTTTTTGTGGTAAAATTTAAGAGCTGCAAAAATTATTTCTCGAAAATTCCAATCCTCTTGGGCTTTAAGATATTCGCACAAGAGTTGAATGATGAAAAAGTGTTTATTTTTCGAAACAACTAGACTTGAACGAGAATGTATGAAGAACTTCCTTCTCCTCTCTTCTGCAAGAAAATTCATGAATATTCGAAATTACCTCACGTCTAGCTCCCTCAGGCACTGGCACAGGTCTGGCCTCCCCAGTAATATGCTGAATGATGTTTTTAATTTCCAGGGGTACCTGCTGAATGATTTTTCTGATCTCCAGTGGAATTCCTTGGAATGGGAATACTGGTCTCTCCTGACTCTCCTGAGACTGTGGCCTCTGCTCAACTTGCTGACGAATGATCACCTGTGGCATCATTCTGTGCTCCTGGGGCAGCTCTTGGGAGGTTGGGGGTGGAGGTGGAGGTGGTGGGACCATACCGTGGGGCTGTGGGTCTTGAGGGTAGGTGTTTTGCTCCTGAGGGAATACGTGTTGCTGGTGCTCTTGGTCACTTGGTGGTCTCATTCCATGGATCATTTCAATGGGAACAGGGCGAAGCTCGATTGGAACTGGACGGATGTCCATTTGCTGTTCAGAAAATCGAAACATTAAGTAAATACTTCCCTCTTTTTTTTGGAAGATTATCTCTACAATTCAGTAGCGAAATGGTAAAACGGTACAAGTCAATTTTGACTATTGACCACTTCAATGAATATCTCAAAATCTAAGGGAGGTAGCAAAATTTTTGTTAAGCTTCTTTTGTAGAGCCGATTGAGTGTTACAACAAATGTAATTACGAAAATTTCGTTATTTCCCTTAGATTCGGAAATATTCCTCAAAAATTTAATTGGGAGATAAGTCGATTTAAACCATTTTACCACTTCGCTACTGAATTCATTATGCATGATTTTTTTTCGGTTGAATACGATTCATCAAATGTAAGAGTTTTTATTATGCATGAAATTATGTATGAGAGTGAATTACTGGGCGTGGCTGTCCTCGAGGTGGTCCCATGTCCATCATCTGTGGTACATTCTTGAACTCGAGTGGGAATACACCTCCGATTGGTTTAATTCCCCTGAAATTGAATGGTGAGCGTTGATTCTCAGGCATTGGGAATTGATTTGGCACCTGGTAACGATGGTAATCCTGATCCTGCTGCTGCATTGGCATTGGAATTGGACCCAGGGGTACGATGATTGGGGTCAGCAGATCTTGCTCTTGTCTACAAGATTAACGAATAAGTAATTCAATGGGTTAATCTATTCCATATTGGATTGATGGAGATGAATGAATAGGGAAAGCATCTACAGTTTGTTTAACGAATACATCTAAATATATAATTGAGTTAAAAACTGTAGACTATCTGATGTTTCAGGGTTTTACGATCTTATGGCATTCATCAACATCCGCTCTATTTTCTTTTTCGTCAAAAATATATTCTAGAAATACCAAACAATCATAGAAAGAACAAAGTTCTTCGACTTATTCTTCGATATAGGAACAGCCTCCGAAGTTTGTGTCCAGAGGTCTATACTTTCCAATCTGATAGTAGTAAATCGAGAGAAGGATGTCAGAAGAACTTTTACATAGCTTCGAAATTTTTTTAGAAAAAAGGTTCTCACGGGAAAACTACTGTGAGTTTTAAAAGTCGCGGGCTGTTGGAGCGAGATATCTCATACGTTAAAGATCGAATTTATACAGGGTGTCATAAAACTAATCATATATCATCATTATCGTAGGGGTAGTTCGGGGCTGCCATTGAAGACGAAATCTCTAATCAGATTTTTATCTCCGACGCTTTGTTTATGAGTTATCAACGAAAAAGACAGCCAATCAAACGCTATTCCCCGGTAGAGAAATCATATCTTCTTTCCCTTTTAAGGCAGAGGGATGATCACATTATAATATATTTCTATCCTAGGGAGGTAAACTAAAGGAATCGTGCCCAGCACGTGCGGAATTACCACCCGAGCGGAGGCGTATTAAGCATGTGGATAAGGGTCCCATATTTTGTCTCCCGTGGTTAGAACCGTAATTTTCGCGTCGGTGTAGGCGCAATGTCAAAAATGTGCACTTTGCGCCCGCCGGCAGACAAAATGTTGAATTGATTCCAATCAATTTCATCCATCGAGATTGAACGAAATGACTCGATTGAAGAAACACGATTTCGAAAAAAATGAATGCTTGTTTCGAGTAAATGAATATTTGACAAAATAGTATATTTCGATACGATTGAGACCGAATTTTCACGAGTAAGTGTGAAGTGGGCAGCCCGCGGCGAAGCCGAGGGCTTTCGTTTACAAGTAAACGCAAAGTTTTTTCGTTTACTTTTCGTTTACGAGTAAATTAAAAGGCACTTTTGCACATCGGGAACGTAGCAGCAGCATCAAAAATCATTTTTTTTCAGTGTAGTCTCCTTTTAAATAATTTCTCTTCTCTCTTGAACAATAATTCTCTTGAATAATAACTAGATATGAACATTTTTAATCATTAAGAGGGAAAATAATTATTTACTCTTGGCGACGAGGTTCTCCAGACTCGCACAGAATGACAACTCTCTCTCCACGAAGTTTCTGGAGCCTCTTAGGATCATTGGTAGTGTTCTCAAGATTGTTGTCTCCGTCAGTGAGTTCGTCAGACCTGCGGCGCTCAACCACACAGGAGACGAGACTCTTCGCCTGTTGCATGATCGTCTGAAACAAAATATACAAATTAATAATCCCTCGCTTTCACTCGTAAATCCCATGATTTATTTTCTCTATTGTTAATGGATATTGCTTACACCGGCTAGGTCATCGAGGTCAAGCTGAAGTGGCAGTTTAATGTGAACCGGGGGGAACTCAGGATCCTCGTAATCGTCGTCGTTCTCATTCTCATCGCCACTTTCATTGTCCGACTTAGTGGTATCGTTGTCATCTTTCTGGGATTTTTTATCTTCCTTGGGTGATTCCTGGAGCTTTTTCTCGGTTACTGCTGGCAGGATCTGGAGGCTCTCTTTAGCTTCTTGTGGCTCCTGTGATAAAAAAATTGTAATCAAATTTTATGATACAAGTAAAAAAAGCACACTTTTTCTCACCAGTATCATAAAATATCGAACAATACATATAAAAAAATGCGCCTCCTGACGATTTGTTCTTCCTGTATTTTTACGATCCAAGTGAAAAAAAGCGCACTTTTTTCTCACCAGTATCATAAAATATCGTACAATACATGTAAAAAAATGTTATTCCTGACGAGTGTGATTACAGATTTTGCCTGCAGCTTGGTCTTTAACCCTCGCACTCCTCAACAACTACTTTTTTTCACTTGTATCGTAATACACGATTTTTTGAAGTATTTCAAGGGGACACAGAGAGAAATTCTTCAAAAAAAAAATTCAAATACAGTCACTGAAAAAAATCCCAATCCACTGCTGGTAAGGTAAAATTTCTAGGAATTTTTGATAAAATTTCGGCAGATTTCGATGAACATTTCATATAAGAACAGGAGAAATTAATGTGCAACTCAATGAAAGTTCCAGTGCTCTGGAATTTTTCCCTGGCCGTCACTTTGCGTCCTTTTTCCCGTACAAAAAATGAAATAAAACTGCGATTTTATTTTTTTTATTGACGGCATGTGCCTGTACAGGCATAAAATCTTCAAAATTGTCCCCTTACCAGGATTTTTGATGGATTTACTTTGAAGGTAGATAATATAGAAACAAAACTGGCCGTTATCCATCTTAATTAGGATTTTGTCTTTAGTAGTCAGAGTCGATTGCAAAGATTATAAAATTAGGGAGAAGCACTTTTTTCATCTGTATGATAGGAACAACTCTCTGCAACTTTGAAATTTCACTGTGGTTTCTTCTTAAAAAAATATTTTTCAAAATGTCAACATTAATAATCATATTGTCGAAGCGAAAAGATTGCAAAAAATTGTCGAAAGACTTTTTGCGTATGAATTTTTTAAGACTACAAAGAAATTTTTTATTTTCTCCTTTAAGTGCATTGATTTTAAAGAGATCCACAGAATAGTCTGCATATTTTTCTGAAATCGTAAAGTTGAGAGGAACTGCCGGATGTTGTGGAGTAGAGAAACTCGAGGAATTAGAATTTCTCAGGTTAGATTGACGTGAGTTTCGATGCACTTATGAGGATTTGTGTTCTCCAATAACCCCCGCGCAATTAATCACACGATTCCACGCTCGGTCGCATTCGATTTCCAGCGTTTCACGAGTAGGGAAGTATAATCAAGTGATGTTTTACTTTCTCCGGAGAATGTACCGCATATATAGTGGAATGGAAAAATCGATTAATGTATTCTGTTCTTTTCATTTTTATTCAACAATTGGCTTTCGGATTATTAAATCAGTATTCTGCAAATATCTCCAAAATTAATTCTTTGTGTGAAAAATATGAAAAAAGCTTCTTTACAGTCTGTAAAATTCCTCAATTTTTTTCATATATTCCCTCCAACTCAGTAGTTTCCGCGGTATTTCAAAACAAAGTCAATATGATTTTTTTACTTATTCTCTTTCAAAAAAATTTCCGTCATTCATTCAATTCGTTCAATCAATTTGAAATTAATTAATTTATATGGGAAACCGATTGGAAAGAATTGAGAAAAAAATAATCCTTTTACTTTTTTTTAAATTAAACTGTTTCCATTTTTTCTGTGCAAGTCTAATATTTCATTCAGTACAATATTTATATTGTATGATTTCTCCATAAGATTACGTTATCCTTTGAATTGTAGTTACGTCTGAATATTCATCTACGATGATAATTAGTATCTAATCTCTGAATAATAATTCTATTGTAAATACAGTGCATCACGATTTGACCCTATGGCCTCGGCAGCAGGGCCTTCATTACAAAAAAGCCTACAATTTCAACAATTTCCTTTCAGACTAATGTCACTAAGTCCAAAACAAAAAAGAAAGGAACATTCTATTGTACCATTTGAAGCGCTAACTACACTATAATTTCCTCAACTTTCAAAAGAAACAGATCGTAATGTTGTTTCTTTCTCTCTATCACCGGAAGTTATCATCAAAAGAAAGAAAGATTTACACAACTCTTCGGCTCATGTAGAAGTTATAACTTCGGTCAAATGAAAATAAGTTAATTCTTATTCTGTAACATTAAAAAAAAATGATGCGAGAATGAAAAAATGTGATTATTTTCCTTCATTCAACGTAGACAAGATGCAACTTTTCTTACGAGTTGGTCAACATCGTAATATACTAGAATGCCCGCATACAACCGGAAATTGATAACAATTATGCACGCATTTTTTATCGCGGAAATCAACTCACTCCTGTACTAAAAAGGAACTGGACAAGTAAATTTCACTTTGGTTTGTTTTCAGAGAATATTTCGTAATGCAAGCTATTAAATGACAAAATTAGTATAAGGGCCTTCTTTCGAGGGGTTATTTAGCAGTGAAATGACTGTCTCAGTCTGAGATGAAATCACATGAAATCAGTTTTGAGGCCACTTGGAATCAGTTGCAAGTTGATTTCATATGAAATCACTTGAAATCGCTCTACTCTTTCCCCCGAGGGTCCATTTACTGTCGTTACGAATCAATCTGACGTTCGCTGTTTGATAAGGGAAATACCCAAATGAGTATTGATAGATTAGAAAGAGTTAAAGAAGTAGAATTGCAAAAAGTAAAATGAGAAGCGATTTTTTTACGCCTTTGGACACTTGGTGGGGCCCAACCCGATGGTTAAGTTTTCAGAAAAATCGGTGGTGGGGCCCCCTTTCTTAACATGTACCCACTTTTTTTCTTGAAAAAATTGAGGTGATGTGATGATTCAAATTTCGAGTTTATCGATCGATGGGGATGAGACGTGCATAAGCTTCGCAGAAAAAAGTCATCATCATCGTAGTTTCTGAATTTCGGATCAATGCAAAGACAAAAATAAATTTCGAAATTTGTATGCCAAGTTAATTCCTCCACCTATTGTTCCTGTTTAACTTTTAAAACCTCTTAAGTCTCAATTTTCCGACCTGTAACTCCTGTTTGCTCCCCTCATCGCCCCTCGTGAAATGAGTTCCCCGTTACAACTTGTTCGCAATTCACGTCTTATTTTATTACCCGGTCTAATTTTGCTTAGATACCCTGAGGCAATTGTGTATGTAGGTAAAACCGGAAATTTGAAATAATTTGAAATCAGTTGAAATCATGTGAAATTATTTGAAATCATGTAATCGGGGACAAAATCCTATGACATCACTTGGAATTGTTTGAAATCAATTATTCCTTGAAATCATTTAAAATCAGGAATCATTGTGTCACGATATATTCGGTAGTGAATAACTCCTCGCCTTCTTTGGCGCTATCGTTCTTCACTCCAAGCTTAGATTTGAGATTGTCGTTCTTAAAAAAATTAACAAAAAGATTCTTGAAGCTAATCTATTTTATCAGGCATGGCTGATTATTCGAAATATACTAGATTATCAATTATAATCTGGTATAAATCTTCAAAATTTTCCTTAATTATATTTTTTTAAAGATATTTCTCCAAGATTTATTTTTACATCCCAATGTGTGTAACATCCGCAACATATATAGTATATATTATATTACACAAAAAAAGGTGATGTTAAGAAAGCATATCTTGAAGAAGAAATTTTTTTTTTCTGCTGCAAATTCCGCTAGAAATGAAGTCGACTTGGCTCATTTCACCACTTCTCTACAGGACTGTCTCCTACCAGTGTTGATCAATGAAGCGAACTGTTGTAGAATCACAGAATAATAAAAGCAATGACGGTAATTTCCCCTGAAAGAGCCTCATGAAAGAAGCAGTGATATTTCCTTTTTTCTTTTTTCCGTGTTTTACGTTCATTTCAGGAAGCTAATTGGCACTCCGCGGTGGCATGGCACCGAGGCACTGACAACTTTCTAACTTCCCGGTTGACTGGTGTCCCAGAGAAGTCTAATACCCATGAGTTTGGTGATACTGTTGAAGCTTGTTGATTTACAGAATTTTTTTTCTCTCAACAATCACAGTAAATGTTGCATTTTTAGCATGACGATTGGTTCGTTCACGTGAAAGTATCGATTTAAAGTTGAAAAAAGGCCCTTGAGAGCGTTCTAATGCGAGAGACAATTGATGTTTAATCATGCAAGAAAAAAAATGTTATTAAATCCTGAACTGATGAGAAATCAGCCAGAAGAATTACTTGTGAATTGTTATTTTTTTTAATGTACCAATGACGCCATTTTTGATGGATAAAAATGACTCCGCTATTCCAGAGTCAGGGAATACATTTCTTGTATGAGAGAATACTCATTCTTCTTTGAACCTTTCCAAATTTGGAACATTAACGATAAGTGGTCGAATTTTCATTATTTTAAGGCACTTTACGTTTGGCAATCTTATTCAGTTTTCCGATCATTGCAGATCAGTGCAGATCAGATATTGTATTCAGAGAAAAACGAACAAGTTCTCAAACAAGTATTTTTTGGACCAACAAAATCGTTAGTTGGAAATTATCAGACATACTTCTCAAGAAACTTTTTTCAGGACGAGTGCCATGGGGTTTTTTTACTCGTGTGATTGGCCAGTCCTCGCCTTCGGCTCGGGCGCCAACTCCACGCGAGTAAAAAACCCCATGGCACTCGCCCTGAAATATACTATTTCGGCCTTGTAACGAAAGTAGCTATTTCGGCCTTGTGACGAAATAGTATATTATGTCATCTGGCGATAAAAGTATTATTGGACGAATGTGCCTTTCTTCATATTCCTCATATTATCTGACTCATGTGATTATAATCCTTGCCTTCGGTTCGGATTATAATCACATGAGTCAGATAATTCTTTTATCGTCTGATAAAATCGCCTGAGAGTATTATTTGACGAATGTGACTTTATAATCCGAGCCGAAGGCAAGGATTATAATCACATGGGTCAGATAATACTTTTCTCGCCATGTGACATACAATATTTTATGTCATTGCGATGAGCCTCGCTTCGCTCGGTTAAATCGCGGTTTCTCGGGCCTAGTGACATAAATAGCTATATTTTCTCAGTGTGTCAGCGGTTCATTTCTTCTCGAAGTCCTTCTACTAGAGGAAGTTCATCAAGCTTTCTATTTCACTTTAAATATCGCACTTCAATCAAGCATATTGTCTTCACATTTTACAATCGCGCATTTATCGCGGAAACCCGTTGTTTTATGAGAACGTATCCAGGAACCATATCCGTAAACTACGAAAATTAAAACAAAAGACATTCGCGACTGGAAATAACCACGTATTCAACAAAGCGGAAGAAATTGCTTTCTCACGTTTTAGTGATTCGCTCATCAATAAAAAATCTTCTTTTGTCACGTTTAAAATTTCGTTTTACTTCATCGCAAAAAACAGTCACGGAATCAACCAAGAATATGCAAAACATTTCGTGGAAAATACGTGTTCATTATTGAAAAAGAAAAAAAACAAAGACGAATCGTCGTACTCATCAAACATACCATATGTTTATATTAAATCAAGAGGAGTATATTATCATGAAGGCAAGGTGTTGTGATTCCACGAAGTAGCCGTTAAAGATTTTTCAATAAAACAGTATCGAGTCAGAAACGCGATAAAAAAATTCGACTGGGTTGTTGGTCACTCGCTCCTATTGCGGGTGGGTTGGAGTGGGTGTGACCCATGACGGGTCGAACCAATGACTTTCCAACCAATTGCCTTTCCTTCATTCATTAGAATGAGATTTTTCTGTACAACTTATCCTATTGAAATATTTTCCATTGAATTTCCTTGGCTCAAATTTTTTAATTTTTTTTGTTTGATTTTATTAATGAAAAAAAAAGAAAAATAGAATTTAAAAAAATAATGAAAAAAATAGACCTATATTGAAAAATCTTTGAAAGGTTTCAAATTTCAAAAAATTATGTTCGAATTATTCCGAAACCGCTGAGTCTATTTTGCTGGAATTTCACTTCAGTCTTAATCATACAAAGTTGCAGCAATTATGATGACAAGAAATCAGTCTCATCGTTTCTCTGAGAAGAATCATCAAATTTGTAAAAAAAATGTTATTTTTCGATGTTTTTCCACAATTTTTATCGCAAAATCTGAAGAACTGCTGATGCGATGTTATTCGGAATCTAATCAGTTCTAATTTAAATGGAAACACATCGATTGCGTGAAAAAAAAATTGAATCACCTCGTTTATTCGAGAGAAATCGTAGCACAAAATCTTTGTCACATATATACACACACATACATCCACACATACAGACCAATCTCTAAAAAGTGTTGAAAGACTTTCTAGGGGTCATGAAACGTAGAGAAATCATGAAATTTCCGCAATGGATTTTCGGGGTCATTACAATAACTTCCTCCCTTTGAGACGGGAAATTAAAAAAAAATAATTCGGCACTACAATTTTTATCATTAAGGATCTTTGTCTTGTAAAGTTCAAAAATGCAAAAAAGAACACGACCATGAGATTAAAAAAAAGATTAGGATCGATGGTGTTATTGTCCACCCTGACAAAACAGTTAAATCGGCAAAGAGAAAATCCTTTTCAGCGTACGTTCACCTCTTCTTTCTCGTCGAACATTAACCAACGGGCAACCCACTTTCCGTTGTGGTTTTGTACGTGCCTTTTCACTATAGTAAATGTAATAGCGATGAAGCCTCGGGATACATCAGGAGGCTTCAGAATTTCGCACTAACACGAACAATTTTTTTTTCAATTATTTTATGAATTTATTATCGTAATTGCTTAGAAATTTCTAATTATTCAATCATTCATTGTTTTTGCTTTCATTCGCTGAATTAGCTGGTATGAATTAAAATGATAGCTTTGTCTGAATAATTGGTAATTCATTTGGTAAACAATGTGATGCGGTTAATATTACGTTGGTCGCGCTGTGAAGTCGTGTCACACCTTTTACAATTTTTTCAATTACATTGTTTTAAAGCCCTACAAAAATTGCAAAAAATTTAACATCTCATGTTCAAATGTACAGAAGCTTTAGCAAATGAAATTGCAATCAAAAGTTTTTTTTTTATAATCAATCAATTCCATAGTTTGTCTGGTGTTGGGGAACAGCGGAGCTCTGAATTTGCGAAAAAAGTACTCAACTTTGAATTGAAATAAATATTTTGCGATCATACACTGTTAAAAATTTCCGGTAACAGTCGTAGAAATTTGTAATAAGTAACATTTCCATTGAAATTTCAAGGAATTTTGCCATTGAGAATTCATAATTTCATGAAAAAATCCGTGGGAATTCTAAATCTTTTTCCGGAAAATTTAGTCAAGTTTTTTTAACAGTGCATCTACACTCAAAAATCTTGCAGAGTTTATTCAATGAATCTCTAAAATTGATTGATAATTTCTTGTATATTTTCCCATCGATTGTTACACAATTTTTTGCTATGCGCCGCGACCAACGGAGTGTTTAATTTTTCCATCACAAGATATAATACAATATTTTATGTTGAAAAATCATTACTCCCAAGAACGATGAAATACCAAATTATCTCTCAAGGAAAAAGCATTGAATTTGAGATAAGGAAGAAATCTATTCGTCTGCAATGCACGTTTACTGAGGTATTACGTATTTCAATAGAAAGTTAACGCGTAAAAAGAGACTTGAAATGAAAAAAAAAATTACTTTACCTCTTCAATTTCCCTTGAGACTTAAAAAAGTACGTCATGAGGAAAAATAAAACAAATCTGAATGAAACAAGTTCGCCTTGAATCCATTAAAAACCACTCAGGCATCACACATGATGCCTTAGTCCTCACAGTGCGCCTACATTGTTATCCACCCGCAGATACAAATAGAGCAGCCCGAGGCCAGCGAATAAATCCTTTCTCCAATTTGAGCCCGTGAGAAATAAAACCTCGGGCATTTTAACAATAAATCAATTTAATCTGATTGCATTTCATTCGTACCTGGATAAGGGCTTCAGGCTGAAGTTTCCTGAATGATTCACCCTGTTGGTTGTTCAATTGCGCTTGCATCGCAGCGATTGACTCTGGGGTGCAGGATGCACGCGCCTCGAGGAATGCAGCTGCCAAGATGAAACTTCCAATGATTAGGGACATTGCGATTAGAGTTATAGCGATAATTCTCGCTATTTGAACGGCGGTACTCTTCATGACTGGACGAGAATATGCCTGGAAACAGTACAATGATCGGTTAAGGATTGTTGAATGCATAATATAAATGAGGGTAATTAAAGAAGAGTCACAGCATTTTTTTAAGTACCAGAAGCATTTAATGCACGGAGAAAATTATTTCAAGAACTAGTTGTTGAAATTCACCAACTACACTGAGAAAGAAAATTATTTTTGTCAATTATCCATTTATTTGAGAGAATTATTTGAGGTATTCAATGTCAAATGAGTCAACGCTGACCCTCACCCTCTTGGACATTGATCTCGATTTTTTCTACGATTTAGGGGCTAGAAAAACTATCTCTCAATTTTTTTCAGATTTTTTCGACAGGCCATTTCGGAGATATGATTTTTTCTTTCTTTTTTCATTTTTTTTCAATAACTTCTGTTCTATTCATCCGATTTTAACTTATGACACGTAAAAATTCTCGATTTTCTTCCGTTTATAAGAATACTTTGAGTAATTTCTTTTTTCAACCCCTAGGTGCTCATAATACCGAAGTTTCAAAAAAAAAGTTGAAGAACTTGAATTTTCAAAATTACGGCACATGTTATTTTTCTCGTCTTTTTTCAGTAAATTTGTGTGGAAAATTTTCGCAATTTTACTTCAATTTCTTGTTTGAGTAATAAAACAACGTAAAACGGAAAAAATGGAAAAATAACGATTTTTTAAATAACTTGATAAATAATTTCAAATATAATAATGATTGCTCATTATACCCTTATCCCAGTAACAAGTAATTCTACAGGGAAATGTCTTTCAATATTTTTCCATAAATCTGATAGTTTTAGAGGTATTTTCCAAGGATGAAAATATGAATGGTTAGACTCATTGCTTCATATGACTACGGAAAACTCAAAAAAAAAAATTTTTCTTCGTCTTTAATTGGAGAAGACACTTGAAGCAAGTTTCAAAGAATATTCAAAATGATGGAAAAGGAAAATAATGATGGAAACCGTTTACAAAAATTCGAAAAACAAGAATAGAGAGAAGAAAAAAAATTGTTCAATTTATTTTTCTCGTAGATCATTGAAGATGACTCGGCGTGTCAGTCAACACCGTCATCTTCAATTAAAAAGAAACTCACAAAATCTATTAGCAGACGCATCTTAAACGTACAACTTACGTAATCCGACATCTCTCATTAACTATATGCATCGCCTAAACAATTTTTCCTTTTTTCTGTCTATGCATGTACAATGTATATGTATAAATTGGTTTGCTCTCTCAGGGCTTCTCGATTGTGTCATTCACCACGAGATAGAACCATACATTTAAAGAGCCATGTAAATACTTTTGAAAAAAACACGACACAGAGATCGACAATAGTTATATACATACATAATTGTGTATACATTGGTGCCAGACGCTTTACGCTTGGTAGCCAACCGAGTCGAGGTCTTTTGTACCTGTATCCGTGGTTTTTCTCGTTATCTCGATCCCCGACACTCCGAAAAATGAAAAACACTCGAGCCTAATGCGTCATGACGATGAAAAATTATTCGGCGTAGTGGAATAGTTAACAATAACTGGTTGAGAAGTTGAAGAATTGAATTCCATTTAATCTTTAAACATCACGCACGAAAATTCTGTTGGATTTCTATTGAAGTTTCTACTAGTTTTGGGCGGATTTTATTGACGTCTTCAATAAAAAATATTCAATAGAATTCGGTTTTTCTATATAACTTATTCTCTTCAGATACTTTCTATAGAATTTCCTCGGCTCGAAGTTTCGAAGTTTTTTTATTCTATTTTTCTTTTCTTCTCATCAAAAAAATTAAACAAAAAACTGAAAAAAATGAAATAAAAAATAAATCTATTCATGAATTTATGTAAAACCACGTGCGAATGAATTTAATAGAATAACCTATCGAATTCCATAGAAAATTCTATGGGATTTCTATTGAACTTTCTATTAGTTCTTGGCCGGTTCTATTGAAATGTTCAATAGAAAATATTCAACAGAAAAAGTCAATTGAATTCGATTTTTCTATTTAATTTATTCTTTTCCGATATTTTCTATAGAATTTCCTCCGCTCAAATTCTCTAAATTGTTTTCATTCCATTTTTCTTTTCTTCTCATCAAGAAAATCAAACAAAAAAACGTGGAAAATTTGAGCCGAGAAAATTCTACAGAAAATATCTCAATAGAATAAGTTATATAGAAACGAATCTATCGAATTCTATTGACTTTTTCTATTGAAGATTTTCTATTAAACATTTCAATAGAGTCGGCCAAAAACTAATAGGGTGGTGAACAGATAATCAATAGAATTTTCTAACGAATTGGTCAACTTTTTCTACTAAATTTTTTCAGCCGTGACTCTTCCTCCCGAATTCTTTTTGGTGAAAGAAGATTAATCCGGGAGCCTTTCGACTCGAATATTTTGTAAACATCTCCAAAATTAGTAAATCAGGGCCGAAAGAACCTTCTGTACTTCATAAAATTGTCGTTAAAAAATGTCAAATAATTGATTTCTCTGAACATCTCGATTTCGTGTATATGTTTCTGTAGAGTGAAGATCAAGGCTAACATTTCGTTGTAACGTAATTTGGAAACATCACTGAAGCTATTAAATTATATTGGGATAAAACCGACCGTTTATCATTGTCGGTTTCTTCTGACCAATGGGTGAATCAGGTATAATTTTGGAGTTTAAAAGAGGACCTTGAAGAGAAAAAAAACTCATAGAAAAATTCCACTCTGCCGTTCTCGCGTGGTCGGCTATTGAAGACTTCGTGATTGGCCTCACTCTACCCTGCATGAAATTCTCTACAAAAATGGTTTGTTCAGGAATTTCCATAAATCTTGTCCATTCCTAAGTACACTGTTGGAAAATATATAAAATTTCATGGACAGTTGACTACGAATTTTCAGGACAGTGACACTGAATGCGATTTAGGGGAAAAAAATGTTGAAATTTCAGGTTTCACTGAAAATTCAGTAAAATTTGAGAATTTTAAGCAGCAGAAAGACGAGAATTCCTGAATGTATTTGAATTTCCAACCTAATATGAATATTCAGTGCCAAAACATTTAATTTTCGATGGAATCTGAAATTTCATGATTTTTTCCCTTAAATCGCCTTTAGTGCAAATGTCTTCATAATTCAGGATTATATTTACCGGAAATTTCTGTTGTCTATTCATTTACAGGGAAAAATACAACTGAAATTTACAGTTCTTTTTTATTTTTCAGTGAAATTTCAGTGGTAATTAAATTCAATGACATTTTCCAAAAAGTGTACAGGAAATATCAGACAAAATTTTTTAACAGTGTCCACTGTTAAAAACAATGAAATTTCATGGATAATTGACTACTATTTTTCAGGACAGTAACACTGAATGCGATTTAGGGGAAAAAATGATGAAATTTCAGGTTTCACTGAAAATTCAGTAAAATTTGAGAATTTTAAGCAGCATAAAGACGAGAATTCCTTAACATATTCGAATTTCCAATCCAATATGAATATTCAGTGCCAAATTACATTGAATTTTCAAAGAAATCTAAAATTTCACGATTTTTCCCCCTTAAATCGCATTCAGTGTCACTGTCCTGAAAATTCAAGAATATATTTACCGGAAATTTCTGATTTTCTATTCATTTTCAGGGAAAAATGGACCTGAAATTTACAGTTCTCTTTGATTTCTTCATGAAATTCTGAATTTTCAATGACGAAATTCCTTGAAATGTCAGTGGTAATTAAATTCAATAAAAATTTCCAAAAAGTGTAGCGGAAATTTCCGACAAAAATTTTGAACATTGTATTCACGAAATAATCTGCTAATTTTTTTATGTAGAATGAGATCAGCTCAGATATTCCGCAGACTATTTTGCAGATCGTTAAACTCGATTGGTTTAAAACAAAATATTGAAGTTTCTTGCAATCCATGAAATCTTCGCAAAAAATGTCTCTTGACAAATCATCCTAAACCTTTTCCTTGAGACGTTATTCGCAAGAAGTTAATTTGTTTTATGTCAAAAGAGATTAGCCCAAGGATTTCGTGTCAACTGTTTTGCAAATATCTCTAAAAGAGGGAGATGCAGGGAGAACCAATATCAAATGACCTCTTTTATAGTCCATAAAATTTTATACAAAAAACGTTCTTCAACAGTTTTTCTCTCAAGCCACTGGCAACAGAAGTATGAAAGGAATACCGGGCGGGGAATTTTTTGGCTCTGTCATTTCCTATCATTCATCACTTCGCTAAGAGAATCCACCTAGATGTTGAAACGTTTTAATCACTGCCCTGCGGTGGGAATAATGTGTTTTCACAGTTAAGTGTTTCACATTTACTAATGGAGAGGATGGAATAAGATCGTTTTAATTATTTAATGCCTGCACTCGGTGACTAGGGTCACTCCTAACTGTATCAAAACAGTTAGGAGTGACCCTAGTCGCTGGCTTCGATAGTCCCACTCGACTCGGATTCCAACAAATAGCTCTTCGAGAAATAGTGAATGAGATGTGAACATTATTGTCTGGGAGATACTTCCACTAATAGAATATTCAAAAAATCACTCTGAGAGGGAATAATACTAACATAAATTCTCTTATATTACAGAAAATTCCGTTACTGAATCGATGTAGATTTTACTGTGATGTAAAAAGAGAAATATCTGAGTACAGATAATTTCTCAAATGTATCTGAAACTCTTTGCTTCTGACGAAAATGTCATGAAATTGTTCGCGAGAGCACAATTCGCTTTTGCGTTTTTAAAGACACACTGTTGAAAATTTTTGCCTGAAATTCCCGGTACACTTGAGAATTTTTACTATTGTAAGAAATTTTACTATTGAAAATTCATCATTTGATTGAATATCAATGGGAGCTTTTAGTGCCAGTTCAATTATTCCAAGCTAAATTAATAGAAATGGGAGAAATTCAGGTAGATATATTTTGGCATTTTCAAACAAGTGAGAGATTGATTGATTCTTTAGTTAATGGGGGAGTTCTCGTCTTCCTTCTGGTCGGAAATTTGAAATCCCATCGAATTTTTAGTGAAATTTTAAATTTCATGATTTTTTCCCCCAAAATCGCATTCAAAGCTGCTCTCCTGAAAGTTATCACTGAATTGTTCGTCAATTTCCATTTTTTCCAACAGCGCAAGTATAAAATTCGGGAATATCTGTGGATTTACAATTCAAAGTGGTTTTAGAAAGAAAATGTTGAGAGAACTATTTTCTCTGATTTTCTGCCAAAAAGTTCGGCACACAAGTTTTTTTATCTCGCCTCAAATTTCAAATATATAAAAAAAAGTCGAATGACCATTTTACCACTTGATACATTAAATTCTTTCTAAAAAATTCTGCAATTATCGTGTTATTATTCAATATTTCTCAACGTCATAGTCAATTTGGTGTTTTTATCCGTCAAAAAATATTGATCCGAATTTTCTCACCTGTGAATTCAATGTCTTGAATTGAAATCCTGACCGAACAAATAAAAAATTTTCAAAATTTTTTTACTGAAATTCACGGTACACTTGGGAATTTTTACTACTATTTCAAGGGATTTCATCATTGAAAATTCACGATTTGATTGAAAGCCAATTGGAGCTTTCCATGTCAGTTCAACTACTGACTGAAGATGTTTCTCATTGATCCTAACGAAATCTGTGTAAGATGTAGACAGGGCGAACCTGAAACCCTCTGTTATTAATTTATGTTACTTGTTCTGCTTATAATTCCCTTCGCGCTCATTACATTCAACCCTGGCTCCAGTCCAATTTTTCCACTAGCAAAAAATTTAATTACATCTTGAACTTCAATAATGTTGAGTGTTATAATGAACGACATTTATATATTTATTCATCGTATTGTCGATTCTCCCTCATTTTGATTTTGTCTGATTCTTGGCTGAATTTTAATTTTCTTTATCTTTGGGTTTAGCTTTATTTCTAACAGTGGGAAATGCTGCGAAAAATTTCATTTTTATTTTATTGTAGTGAAACGTGCAAGGTATCTATACTATGTAATTCCCAGTTCCTCTTGCATCTTGAACTACTACTACTACTAGTACTACTACTACTAAAAAAAGTCAGTTCAATTACTGCATGAAAATTAATAGAAATCGGAGAAATTCAGATACATATATTTTGGAATTTTCAAGTAAGTAAGACATTCATTGATTCTGTAATTAATTAGGGAGTTCCTTCTGGTCGAAAGTTTGGAATCCCATCGAAATTTCAGTGAAATTTGAAATTTCATTATTTTTTTCCTCGATATAACATTTGAACTTACTCTCCTGAAAGTTATCACTAAATTGTTCGTCAATTTCCATTTTTTCAGTTGAGAGAACATTTTTCTCTAATTTTCTGCCAAAAAGTTCGACAGAAACACAAATTTTTCTATCTCGCCTCAAATTCAAAATATGTACAAAAATTTGACCTGAATTGGTTTAAACCATTTTACCATTCAACATATTGAATTCTCACTAAAAAATTCCGCAGTCATCTTGTTATTATTCAATATTTCTCAACGTCATACTCGATTTGTTGTTTTTATCCGTCAAAAAATATTGATCCATGTTTCCTCACCTGTGCATTGAATGCCTTGAATTGAAACCCTGACTGAACAAATTTGAACCGATCTGAATATTTTCGTTCTTTATAATCATGACATTGATGAGGGAAGAGAGAGGGGCGATCATATTACAGTCTCCGATAACTTGAAACATCCGAGAGCATCAACATAATCCTCCATTGACTAGAGATGAAACAAAAAACGAATGAAAAGTCGAGAGATTAAATTGGTTCATTTGATGAAAGATACGAGGCAAATGGTTTTGCACGCGATTCTTAATGACCTCGATGTTGTATGGACGATGCTACCACGGGTGAGAGGCCTCCTTTAACAGCGAGAGATAGTAGGCCATCATGACTATACAATCCTCGATTGAAAAGTAAACAGAGACGATTTCTGTTGCCAAGCGGTTTCAATTCATTAATTTTCTTCGAGTTTTCATTCTGTTTTCTCCAGATATTTCGGTCCACGAAGATCAACCACAGTCATAAAAATAATCCTCTAAAATGGGACATCATCTTTCCCATCAATAATATGCTAATTACCAACTTCTTGAGAGGAAAAAATAAATAAATAAAAATGGTTGTGAATCAAACATCGCGGGAACCAACGAAGATGGAGACACCTATTTTCCTAACGACCATTTATGTTGCGAAAATTTCGAGTTCTAAAAAAGTTCCTTACAAAAATTGCACACCAATCCCAAGATATTTTCCAGTAACTAATGCCGAAATGATCATTCTTTCCGCTTTTAGCATTTTTTTTCCAAAATCGTGAAGAAAGTATTACGCACGCTATATTGAGCTGAAGGCACTTGGAACATTTGCTTTGTATTGCGTAATAGGAACCGTATTTCCTCGATGCCACTGTAATGTACACAATGCCCCCACGCAACAACTTGTTGCCCGCTAGTAGACGTTTAAATATGCGGTTTTTTCTCAAACAAAAAATGCTTGAAATTACCCAATATAACGAGAATTTAATGGAGTAACACAAGAATTAACTTCTCGAACCTAATTTGTACTTACCGAGAGAACAAGAATTTCATCACTAAATAGATGTGAAGAAATAGCGCAGAAATTCATGTCTTTAAACTACTTTTAAATTGTCTCAGGATGATGATTCCAAAGAGACTTTAATGCTTGAGATAATGGAATTGTGTTTTGCCTTGAAGAGACTCGTGAAAGTTGTGCGTCAGTGGGTGCACAGTCCACAAAACGAAACGCAGAAGAAATATATAAAAGATGAAGTCGGCGAACAACCGGCCTATCTTGATGGATTCGACACGTTTTTTAATATATATTCTTCATTTTATTTTTTCTCAGCTCATGGTGCCGTTCTTCACTCCGTTATATCTCTTCAATCATGATCAGATGATTCGAGACTCCAATCGAGCATATTAGAAAGTAGCATTGAACAAAGAGAACTGTCCGGAAGACGTCGAACATTACGTGAGATACATAGAAAACCGTTTTAAGTCACTTCTATATAATGGAAATAAAAAAAATTATCTTTTGCAAAGTGAAGAAATGAAAAATTTTCAAAATTGTGGAGATGAGGCAATTAGATTCTTTAGATTATTTACAAAAAAAAGTGTTCAGGAGATTTTATTTATTTCACTTTGTTTTGAAGATAATTGCAAAATACTTTATGTCAAAATTTTATTCATTCATTTTGTCAATTATCTCGGAGATGACTGGATTTAAAGGGGAATTGCAGAGGATCATTTCTATAGCTATATGGATGAGTTTTCCCATTCTCGACAAAAAAGGTGCTCTGATATTCCCGTCTAAACCACTTCCTTCGGAAGATCTTTTCAAAATAATCAACAAAACATACTTCTTCCGAATTCATATCTCCTTTCATCACTTCACTATTGAATTTTATTGTATTCTCACCGGTGGTGATTCGGACGACGAATAAACTTCACTAGGAGCATAATGGCTGTGCGGAGGAGGTGGAATTTTCTCAGACCCAACAGCCACAGTGGCCAGAGAGTCAAGCTGGTCCTTCTCCATCCTCTTGTTCAATAGAACTCCAACAAAATCCCAAAAAATCCTCAATTACCTCAACAAAATTGAACTTAAAAATAAACTGATTTGTGTTGTTTACACTTTTTGAATTCTTTTTCGAGACAGAAAAAAAACGAATGATGTCAATTGCCCGACGATTGAACGAGCAGTGAATGTCTGATGGGAGCCAGCACCGCTAACTTAGGGAGACGGTAAATCCCACCGCTCGGAGTTGCTGAGGTGAGTGGGGAGTTTTATGGACAAGACGAGAGAGACCCAACCCAATGCTGGGACTCAGTCCCCGAGATATTTCTATGAATTGTGTGTGTACATGATCAGCAAGGTGCAATTCACTACGACTTTCTAAGTCAGTACACGCAGCGTCCCACGATGTAGTTTTATTCGTTATGATTATGTTTTTTCCCCAAGTTTTCAACTTTTTTTTAGATTTCTTTTCGTTGTCGGAGGTTCGTGCTCAGCCGTGCCACCTAGTTTCAATGATTTTATAGGAAAAACCTGTTCTATGATGGATTCAAGAATCTTCGGAAGTTCTAGAAGATTTTAGAAGGGATAAATCGAATTGAAAGTAGCTTTACCCTTACGACTCGAGTCGTTGAGTGTCTTCATAAAAAAGAAATTCTCACAATTATTGTTTTTAGGTCTCAATTATTGAAATTAATTATAGAGCTCTTGAACATAAGAATTATCTCATTCTTCAATTTGTTTAACTGAAAGTATGGATGAACAGTTTTTCAATGAACTAGTTTGAAAATACTCGTGGCAACACTGTAAGATTATGTGGGTGGTGGGAGACGAGCGGAGGGAACGCCATAATCGTGGCCGTTGTTGTCATGTACATCTGCTTCCAGTCCTTGGCGATTCTGGACGGATATTGTTAATCATAAAAAGTACTAAATAATAAATGGTGATTAAATTTTCAATATTTTTCATTATTTTTTTTGCATATTGTTAGTAAAGAATCAGATTTTAATCTTTTATTTGAACGGAGATATGCAACATTTGGCGATTTTCACATAAGACCCTGGATTGAATAATGAATTTCAGACATTTTTATTTGTAAACACGAAAACGACAATTAAATGGCGAAAAAACTCACGATACCGAATCTCATCGAATTTTTGGGTAATTGTTTTCAGTTTTTAACAATTTTTCAATTGAAAAATAACCTGTTCACCGTAGGTCTGAGCCATTTTCATAATTTATGCGGAAAAAGAACTTCCCAAGGGTAGAGCTACTTTAAAATGAATTGAATTTCGATATGAATATGGCTTTAATCCGTAAAAATCGCCGTGTACTGCATTTCTATCGTTTAGGATTCGAATGGGGAAATAATCGAACCAAATGCCCCTTCTGTTCCAAAATTGTTGGAAATTGTTCTCAAGTTTCCCTGCATATCAATGATGGGGATGAGTTTTGTAATAACATAATTTAATCTGTAAAATTCTTTCCTCTCGTTGCTATAAAACAAACCTATCGAAAAATTTTCATTTTCCACAATTTTGAAGCATTACGGCTGATTATGTGCAAAGAGTTTCTCAATTTTAATAATAAGACTACATAATCATAACCAGGAATGGACTTAGCTTTGGTCGGAGCGCTGTACGCGTACGTTACACTGAAAGAGAAATAGAATTCTCGAACACGTCCTACTCGTGCCAAAAAATATACTATTATTAAAAATGATCAATAAACGATTTTTTGTGCCAAACATGCGAAAAGCATGCGCCGAGATTAAAAATTTTAATTACAAAAATAAATTAAGTCTTCAAAAAAATGTTATTCCCTCCCGGCGGGCGCAAAGTTACATTTCCCTCCCGCTTCGCAATAGTCTTGTTTGTGCCAACTTGAATTTGAAAGTCTTAAACATGAATAATTGTTCTGCTTTCGATAGCAACGAAATATTTGGCACAAGAGGCGGATAATTCAGACCAGACGGTGCCTTTTCAAGATGAAAATATCTCATATAGAGGAAAATTTATCAACAAATATTTTATCCCTAAGTTACAAGATTGCTATCATATCATTATTATTGTTTCATTTAAGGGTTCATTTCTTGTCTGTAATTATTAGACAGCCGAAACGAAAAACTACTATCCCTTGTTTCGCATAAAGCAAAGATTTTTCGGGAGCAAAATACGTATGGGAGTATCGAATAACGAAGGAGTAGTGCTAGAAATGATATTTTCTGTACTGCTTCTCACGATTTCTCGTCTGGGAATTGGTATTACATACTTCCCAAACTCGAAAACTTGAAAATCACTACAGAAAAATATTGTTCCTGGGCTGTTGCGATGGGGTTTTTTTACTCGTGTGGTTGGCCAGTCCTCGCCTACGGCTCGGAGGCCAACGCCACACGAGTAAAAAACCCCATCGCAACAGGCCGGAAAAATACTATTCTTGCGTGTACAGAGAATGCAATTTTTTTTCAACTACTAAATCTATTTTTGCAACAAAAATTTTTCATTTCGGCGCATTCTCTGCATGTTTGGCGCAAAAAAATCCTTTTTTGATCATTTTCAAAAAAATATTTTCTTGGTACAAGTAAGACTGTTTGAGAACTTTGTCGTTTTTCTCTCAGTGTAGCATAAGAATTCTCCCAGCAATTGATCCGTTGGCGACGCAGATTCCGACGTAGTCGAGACAAATGACGTACCTACACTGATAGAACGGTTTAGTCGAACTAAACAAGACTTTTTAACTATTACCACGATTCGTTAACTATTAACGAATCGCGGTAACAGTTAAGAAGCCTCGTTTGGTGCAACTGAATCGTTCCACCTTTCCTATCATTGTAGGTCTGCGGTCTCTATAACGAATGTGACCGTCGATAATTCGTCGATAGGACTCCACCGATTGAGACATAATTATACCATTGATCAGTAAATAGGGAACTTGCATAGAGTTCAGTGTTCCCTAATTTCCATATTCACCCATTGTACACAACCCATAAATAGCCACGAAACTAATAAAAGTTTCAATAGAAATGCAATAAAATTTACTAGCGAATGCCATAGAATTGAGACAAATTCGAGCGAATTTAAATCTGAGGAACATAGCAAATTTTTGGGAAAAACTTTCTTCTGTAGAGCAGTTTAGAGAAATCCAAAAGAAAAATCTCCATCAAATTTGCTGCATCTCATGTTGTTTACGAAATACTTCAGAAGAACTGACCTCAAAGTGAAATTGACACAAGGTATTTGACCACTTCATTATTGAAATAGGTTTTTTTTCAAATGGAGAGAATGGCGGAGTTTTTTTTCATTTTGTTTTCTATTCTTCGTTGCCGAGCAAATTTCTGTTTTATTCCACACGTAACGGTGTAATTATCGTGTGCGAGGGCAGTTGAGACGTTTTCAAGGACGCAGAAAGAATTATCGTTTGTTCTGAGCTCCAGGAAACTGATTAAGACGTTAATTCCCCGCGGATAATTTAGGAAAAATTGATTCGACTATTAGAAACTTTTGTTATCCATGGAATACTCCCTTCGACGATGAGAACTATTCGAAGATGTGTCTCTAAACCGACTAATTTCTGAGATATTTTCAGTAGTAGGATAATATTTTGATAATGAGAAGAATGATATTCTAGAAAATTCGTGTCCTAGAATTCTTACAGAAAAAAGCCTGACAGACCAATTGTGTGGAAAACCCAATATCTAATCCCTTTCTTCAAAATATCTGCTAATTGAAAATCGCACAACAAGAAAATAATAGAGTTTCAATCAATTTGCAAAAAAGATGACTAATAATTCCGATAGAACTCCACTAGAAAGCCAACAAAATTCCCCGAATTTCTCGAGGTATTTCCCACGAAATTTTGCAAAAAAAATGAGATAAAAATATTATTTTTATACCCTCGAGACAAGAGGCAATTCATAAAAATTCATTACGCAAATATTTTCTTCCATTTTTCTATCAACTGTACAACAATATCCGCAAAAACAACATGAATCTGCCATTCTCTGTCTCTCTCCTCTCCCGTCTGTCCCACAGATTCACTCTAATCCTGAATAATAATAAAAAATCTAATGCCTATTTTTATATGCAAAATTTCCTCTGGAGGTGAAAATACTAGCAAAAAAATACATGCAAAAGATAACAGTCATTGGGCAACAATTTTCGGTCTGTCGTGAGCGAAAGTGTTTGCACGAATTACTGGGAAAATGCACAGTAGAATGGCGGCTGCTTTCCCCCGCATAAAGAAGGTATCTAATCACTCGTTCCATAGTATATACAGTGTCGACGAGCAATCGGTAGGCAAAAAGGTGAGAGAAAAAAATCTATGAAATATGATTTCGCTTACCTCGATAATTTGAAGATTTCACAGTAAAATAAATAATACAAGATGGTGAAAAAATTCTGATTATCATCACGATGATAATTCAGTCCAAATTCATGAAATCTGCAGATGGATGAAATGATGATTCTCATTGCGTGCTGGTGCAAAGACTCGTCAGAGGCATTAGCAAATTACCCAGTAATTACATTTGGTTGATGTGGATGAAGATAGGATAATTAGAACGAACTAGTGTTTTTAATCCTCATCCCACTTATATTTTTCCTATTATTAGCTGCACGCAAATTGAAGTGAGTTTAAATGACAGACCAAGACAGTTGCGAATTCTTTTATTTCTCGTTGCTTGTTTTCGTTGGAAGAGAGGAACTGAAAATTTCACTGTGAAAAGAAAACAACGAGACGTGTCTTGTGAATTTCTACGATGTAGGCGGCACTTTATGTATGTCGTTGGGGTTTAGGAGTCTAGATGCTCTTTTACATTCAGTAATCATATTTTTTTTTCACCATACATGTATGGAGGGGTCTCGTCAAGACGGTATGACCCATCGCTTTCACTTTGACTTACTGCCAAGTCAGGCGGGTCCCTTCGGCAAATATTGAACGTTAGGACAGTTTTACTCTCTCTTATTTATGAAAATCCACGGATTATTTATTTCGCGGGAAGTATGTCTCTTGTTGTGATCTGATTGTGGGGAGTGATAAAACGTTTAGAACGCATGAAGGAATGGAGGAAGGAATGAAGGAATGGAACCGAAAATCTTAGCGATTTCGCTAGGAAATTTTATTGGAAAGGCATTGAAAATTCTATTAGTTTTAACCGATTCCTATGAGCAAGTTGGTATCTCGATTTTTGCACAAGTTGGAGCGCGTACAAGGATTTTAATGGAAAAACTGAAAAATAGGAATATCTCAAAAACGTATGAACGGTTATATATATTGTGATTGATCTAGGTAGAGGATATCGAGACAAATATTAAAAAAAAAAAGAAAAATCGAAGTCTGTCCACTATTTTTTAAGATATCCGCAAAAAACTAGTTAAAAATAAATCACTTCTTCTCAAAAACTATTGGACCGAATGCACGGAAATTTCGCAGAGTTAGACCACATTAAAACCTATAATCTGAGAAAATTTCAGATTTTTTGGAATGACTGTAGCCATTTAAATACACGATTTTCTAAAAATTTACCACCGGGAAGGATTCTGTTCATATACAGACATGGTCCGATTTGTAATTTACGCGCACTTTCTTGACCAGCGCGGTCGCCGCCGCATTGCTCATTCTCATGAAAGTTCACATGAGAATGCGTCGTTCGTGCGCGGCCATGACACTTTTTACATGCGCTCCGCCATGACATGCCGGCTTCTTTTCTATAAGGAAGGAATAAGGACTATAAGGATTGTGCCATCTCGTTCTCACCTATAGAGGTATAATACCTAGAGCGTTCGTTCGACTCCTTAGCTTACGGAAATTCGGAGAGAGATAGCCTGCGTAGCGGGCCACCCTCTCTCTCTCTCTCTAGCTGTAGAAAGTGGGGTGGGAGAGCAGAAGGCAATGTAGAAGGGGAAATATTGAACATGGCCGCGCGCGTGGTTGCCTGATGACAGATCCGATCAATTAGCCCCTCATGTATAGATATTCCAAATTTTTATTTTTTTCCTCATTGAAGTAGTTTTGGCTCAAATGAAAGAGCGGCTCGAAAAATGGCGTGCAGAAGTCTTTAAAGATGACAAATGTCTCTAAAGATGATGTCTGTTTTCAATTGAAAAGCGCAATTGTGACAACATTGTCCAGTGGGGTCTAGGAGTCTCCCCTGGTTCAAAACCATCTTTAGAGGCCCTTAGCACGCCATTTCTCGACCCGCTCTTTCATATGAGCCCAAAAAAACATTCATATCTTGTTTGACATCGCTGCTACAAACTCGGGTCTACAACTCGGGCCTTCAATTGAAGGCCCGAGTTGAAGACCCGAGTTTGTAGCAAAGATGTCAGACAAGATATGAATGTTTTTTTGGGCTCAAATGAAAGAGCGGGTCGAGAAATGGCGTGCTAGGGCCTCTAAAGATGGTTTTGAACCAGGGGAGACTCCTAGACCCCAATGTTCTATACATACTCCTAGACCCCATTGTCCTCCTAGACAATGATGTCACAACTCTGCTTTTCAATTGAAAACAGATATCATCTTTAGAGACATTTGTCATGTTTAGAGGCTCTAGCACGTCATTTCTCGACCCGCTCTTTCATTTGAGCCCAAAAAAACATTCATATCTTGTCTGACATCGCTGCTACAAACTCGGGTCTACAACTCGGGCCTTCAATTGAAAGCCCGAGTTGAAGACCCGAGTTTGTAGCAAAGATGTCAGACAAGATATGAATGTTTTTTTGGGCTCAAATGAAAGAGCGGGTCGAGAAATGGCGTGCTGGGGCTCTAAATATGACAAATGTCTCTAAAGATGATGTCTATTTTCAATTGAAAAGCGCAATTGTGACAACATTTTCCAGTGGGTTCTAGGAGTCTCCCCTGGTTCAACACCATCTTTAGAGGCCCTAGCACGCCATTTCTCGACCCGCTCTTTCATTTGAGCCCAAAAAAACATTCATATCTGGTCTGACATCGCTGCTACAAACTCGGGTCTACAACTCGGGCTTTCAATTGAAAACCCGAGTTGAAGACCCGAGTTTGTAGCAAATATGTCAGACAAGATATGAATGTTTTTTTGAGCTCCTTCGAGATGCTGTTTTGCACAGGACAGTCTATCTCTGTCTGAAAATCCGTAGCGCGTAATACTGTGGATAGGAACGAGCGCTCTATGTATTATACCTCTATGTTCTCACCAGAGCATGGGCTACTGTGGAAATGGGCTAGTGTGGAAGGAGGAACGAAACCCCCCCTTTACTGTTTGCTGACAGTTAAAAAAAAATGGCCACGCCATCGGAGACTAAGCGACTACTCTTCCTAATAATTATTGTTTTACTGAGTTTAACGCCTCTCTCGGAAGGTACAAACTACCATAAACTTAAATAATACTACTATCAACTCATCATTTATGAATAGAAAATCTGAATTTTCTTGCGTAATTTTATATCGAATGTCATTATAACCTAAGCCTATTTTCCATAGCAAACGGCACAACATATGTCACTTGTGGTTCAATTCTGAAGTTGTTGAATGTTGCTTACAACGTTAGACTTCATTCTCATGATATTAAATATAGAAGTGGAAGTGGCCAGCAGTCAGTAACTGGGACCGAAGCTAAAGAGGATATCAATTCATATTGGCTGGTGAAGGCGGCCACCGGGAAGCAGTGCCCTCGAGGGTAAGTACGAAGTTCTGGAAAAGTAAAAATAAACCGAAAATACTGCATACCCATGAACATTTTCGAAGATATTTTGGGAACCGAAAGGTTTTGACAGAAACATCAATTTTTGTATTCTCTAATCTTTTCCTGAAATTCTTCCCATCGGAGACAGCTGTTATTCGGGATAATCGGGCGAGCCCGCAGGGTTAGAAAAAAAGCAGCCATTTTTTTCTTTTTTTTACGTATTCTTTAAATGTTGGAAAAGGCGTGTGCAAAGTTTCAGACTGCTGGGGAGCATGGTTAATTTATTATGAATTTTTGAAAAAGTGGTCATTTAACCCGTGATCTTATGGAAATGACAAAAACAAGCAAAACCCAAGGAAAAAATGCAGCCAAAGTCATGAAACTTTAGACACATTTAGAACATCTGATCAATGATTTTTTGAGAGAAAAAGATTGTCGCCTAGGAGCATTGTTTATTAATAATAACGAAAAAAGTACTGAAAAATGAAATTCCTGCGCACGCAGCCCTAATGAGCAGCAACGTGTCCCAAGTACCGATCGGGTGGGGGTAGCGCGGTCGATTTAAACGTCTCTTGAGAAAGCGCGATGAAGCGTTGTTATTGGAGCCCCCTTGAGCCAGTGGTACCAGTTCCTGGTGAAAAAAAAACTACCGACGATGTTGCCACTTTTTTTGCATGGATTAATATTTTTTCATTTATTAAAAAAAAACAATCCGAAATCTATTCAATACGTGGAACACATACAAATAAATTTCATTGTTTAACAGCTCGACCCGATTATTCGCTTTCGCCTCTTAACGTGATCTGCTCCCGTTTTTAGGGCTGCAGGTCATTGCTACCCCATAAACGCACATTTAGCAGTCGCACAATTTTTTGTCTTCTCTTTAAAACAGCTATACTGCTGCTGACTATTGACGATCTCCAAGATAGTCAAACAGTTTTCCTAACGAAATTGGACTCATGTAACACCGTGAGAATATGAATCCTGAAAATTTGAATATACTTGACGATATTAATTTTTCGAATAAAATATTAACCCCATTTAAAACAAATAATTAATGAACATAAGGAACAGATCTTTTTGAATTTTTATTATGTATTGATTTTGTGGTGTTGATTGATAGGGAGCGAATTTCATGCGGAGTTTTACTAAGACTGGAGCATGTAGCTACGAAGAAAAATCTTCATTCCCATCATGTGAATTCTCCTCTCAGCAGAGGACTGGAGGTCTCAGCCTATGGAGATCAAAATGGAGAAGGAGACTCTGGGGACCATTGGACTGTACTTTGTAACTCTGATTACTGGACACACCGTGAACCTATTAGGCTGAGCCATGTGGACACTCATAAGTAAATTTGTCTCTTTATTGTCCATCTCCCTCTCTATTTAATACACTAAAAGAAAAAGTATTTGCTTCAAGCGGATATATTTAACCTTATGTTTAATAGAAATTGAAGAAAAATCATTTATCCTTGGTCTGTATTTTATTTTTGGTTCCATATGTATACCCTCTCGGGTGTTTACATTTTGTTCCCTTCCCTATCTGCGTTACCATGGGCCGACTTACTTTATCCCCAACTGCACCCCATTCGGGATTGGACTGCCAGGGAAACCATGGAAAACCTCAGTCGTGCAGCCGGCCGATAATGCAGGAATTCCACTGCGTCCATTGGTCACACTGACTCAATGGGCACAGTGGTTCTCTACATTCGTGCCTAGCGACTGTAGTCCCACGCGGTTAGGTGTGCCTAAGCGGACACCCATCCAAGTACTGGGCAGACTGAACGCTGCTTAGCTTGGATGACCGCCGGAGCCACATTATTAAATTGGACATTTCTCTCTTTATTGACAGATTTTTAGCGGCAAGTGGAAGCACGTATGGATCTCCAATATCTGGACAGATGGAGATAGTTGGTGATGATTCATCAAATAGTGATTACATTCAATGGAAAGCAATGGAGGGCTGCTTCATCCACCCCAACAAATTAGAGAGTCTACATGACCGCCATACGGAGCTCTAAGCATTTCTCTGTTAGGACTAGAAAAATTGGAAAATAAAGAAAGATAATCATGGACTGATGTGGCTTTCATAAAGCAAAATACATAGCCATTTCCAGTAATCAAGCTCAGCTTATATTATTGATTGTACATAATATTTATTCCATTATATTAAATGTGGTGTTACCTGATCAATATGGCGTGCAGATGCCAAAGGAATTAAAACTGTAATATGAGAGTAATTAGATCTAAATTGAAAAACTTTCCACATATTTTGTATTACGAGCGCGGCCGCGACGTTGATGCCCATTTATTATGCCTTTGCTTTTTGCTTCCGCATGGAAGCATTGCAATCGTTCAATTTTCACATTTTCTAATTTTGCTTGGAAATGATGCAGAATGGCCTGAAACGTAAAAATACGAAGTTTGGGGACCATGCCTGTGCGTGACACGATCCAGTCGGTCATTTTTTCGTAAATTTGATAATTAAACGGGAGAAATCATTCCAAAAAGTTTGAAATTTTTTCACAATTCGACCGTGGCGCCATCCCTCCGTTGAGGTCGAACTATTTTTCGTTTGCGGTCACTCCAACCCCGAGATCTGAGCCTCTATTTTCGTCAATCCTCTTTGATAGTACCCGTTTTTTTTCAATGCCATCTGTCGGTGTCCCCGCCGAAGTTCGTCCTCATTCGAGCAATTTTGAGTTCGACTTTCGGCGTTCGACTTTTTTCAGTTCGAGTTTTACCCTTCGTATCTTTTATGAATAGAAAAAAAAAGAGGATTATCAAACGATGAATTATATACGACAGAAGAAAATAATATGCAAAATGACCATTCGGAAGTGTATTACTAATTTATTAGCAAAAATAACCATACTATATGTATTATGGAGAAAAAAGCAATTTCCCAAACACCCACAACATATTTTTGAGTGACTGCATGTGTGATAAATATAACAATAAGCAAAAATAACAATACTATATGACGATAAACGTAATTTCCCACTTGTTTTATTCTATTCTTGGCTTTCAAGTTATCCAATTATCAATCATCATTCGAACAATTTTTTATTTCACATAGAGAATCCGATTTGTAATTTACGCGCGCTTCCCTGAACAGCGCCGTCGCGGCCTCATTGCTCATTCTCACGCCATGACACTTTTTACATGCTCTCCGCCATGACAGTTTCCAGTGCATGCTTTTTTTATATAAGGATTTTTTATATAAGGAATATAAGGAAGGACATAACCACAGAATATTTGAGTGATATAAACACCGTCTTAACAATTGAGTATTGTTTACAAAATTAAACGGAAGTAAGCTTTCTTCCCAAATACACTTGACTTCCTGTTTTTCATAAAGAATGGTAATCGAAAGTTACAAAAAAAATAGTTCTGTAATTTATGATTTCAGAATGATGGAAAACACAGAATCCTCGGGCAGGGAAGCCGGAGCTGTGATTATAACTGAACAAGAACGTGATTTAGCCCAAAATGCTCTCGCGGAATTTCAAAAACGTTCTTATACTTCATGTTTGACATATCTAAATAAATTAGAAGCCCTCAGACCAAAAGATCTGAAAGTAATGCATAATAAAGTGATTATAGAATACTACAAAAATGACTTGAAGAGAACAGAGTTAGCCAAAAAGAGTCTGAATGCTATTTGTGGAGCACCAACAACTCTTGATTCAGCTCCAGATAATGCAGACGATGTCGAAAAATCTGTGATGAGATTTAATCAAGCTGTGCTCCTTTATCATACTGGACAGGATGAACCAGCGCTCCAAATACTAACCAGATTGTTTGCACTTGTTGAACCCATGGGTAACTTTTATTTATAAAAACTGAATAACATTAGATTTCCACTTCTCTGAAAAAATTGGGGTTCATTGCATTACAGATATTTGCCGATGCCCCGAAGTACTCATAAAAATAGTTTCTTTTTCTTTATTCTTGTTTGTGTTCTGCTCATTGATTACATGGGTGATTTCACAAATTAATAATAATTATGAATTTGTACTTTTAAAATTTCAATTTTGTTAATGGCCCTCATATAGTTTTATCAATATTTGATAGACTTAACGTTTACACCGCATCCCTCCGGAAACGTACGTTTACCGTACCCCGTGGTCTGTCATACCGGTACTCCGTCTGGATCGCATTTCTCGTTCGTTTGAGGGAATGAATTAATACTTTTTGTTACTGAAGGTTCACAAGGGGGCTAGAACGGGAAAAAGTCAAACAAGGAGAGGTTAAACGATAGAAGGGTTGAAGAAAAGAGGGAAAGAGTGTATTGATTCAATTTTGTTTTCTTCGCACACAAATATTTGTTATGAACATTTCGTCATGTAAATCTCGCCTGTTAATCGTCTATTATCTAAGGAACAAAGATATAGCGTTCATTATGAATAATTGGTGCTAATTATTATTTTTTACAAATTCCCTCGGAATAAATTAGAAGAAAAACTAACTTATATCTGAAAACTAACGTCTTGTTGCTAGCCGATATTTTCGAGAATTTTCGATGGAGTTGTTTCGCCTCATACAACTTGGATCCCCTTCATTATTATACAGCGCGAGGGCTGGCGTTTGATGCAATGTTAAAAATCACGAGTTCAATTGGAATTATTCCAAGACCCTGAGATGCTCCTTTTCATTGAGAAAGGCAGAGGGGGACTGTCGCAGTGTTCAAACCGATATGGAAGGGCAAGTAACTACTACATGGGAGCTGATGAGTATAACCCTGCAGAACAAAAATCGTATTTGATGTATCTGGATGTAAACAACTTATATGGAGCAGCAATGAATCATCATTTGCCGAATGGGAACTTGTGTTGGCTGGAAGATTGGTCATCCCTCAACGTCCTGAAGATTCCAGATGACTCAGAGACTGGATACATCCTGGAGGTTGACCTGGAGTACCCACAGGAATTGCATGAAGAGCATAAAGATTTACCATTGTGCCCAGAGCATATAATCCCCCCAAACGGTCAATCAAAGCTACCAAAATTATTGACGACGTTAAACTAAAAAAAAATTACGTCATTCATTATACGAATTGTAACATGATAAAAATCATGTACTGTTCCTCACCTGAACTGACCGCGGATCATGGGGGGAAAATTAGTATTTTTACCTCAGCGAGGAGTCGGATCACCCAGAGCCACAATTGTCATTTTATTTTTTTTATTTCTATTATTTACTTTCTTTTCATCATTCTCTCGAACTCTGTCGATTGCGCTCACCGTGGGTTACATGAGCTTCGTGACGAGGGGAGTGGAGCGGAGCATTGGGAATGACTACAAGTCGGCACTACAGCAGATGACGAGTAGCACACCGACTAGCACGCACACACCGAGTCTGGGAGACTCACCATTTTTTTCCTCAAAGGCATACTCAACCCCACTCAACGTATTCTCTACAGCAGACTCTTGCTAGTTGCGCATCGAAAGGGCTGTAGTATTTCCAAGAAATTCACAACTTTCTATCGGCCCCACTCCTCAACCACTGCAAATTCTCAGAAAAATGAGAGGGAGTGAATTGTTTTATTTTCGAATACAATTATTTGAACATACAGACATTTTCTGAAACCATCATATCTTCACGTTTCCTGACATTCTATGTCTTTTCCAGACAAAATTAAAAGATCGTCAGAATCGAGTACAAAGCTTCCATTCAGAAGCAAACCGTTGAGAAAAAAATTATTTTTGGATAGAACAAAGCTGACCCACTTGGATGTTTGCATATTTTCCACAAAAACGGTCATTTTAATGGCGAAAATGAAAAAAAATCCAATCTTGATAGGAAAAGGGGATACACCTTGCTGAATCAAACCCAGAGTTAACTCTGGGGTCATGGAAATTTCCCAGTTTCTCTGTTTCTTCGCTGGGTTTTTTTCATAAACCCAGAATTGACTGTCAGGGCAACGTAGGCTTTTTAACTTTTTCTTAGTGAATTCAACTTTTTTGGTTATTACAACTGAATAACTATGACGGTTAATAAATAACGTATTATCGAGAGATACACTACAGTTCTTTTTTTCAATTCATTTTTCAGAAGAAAATTTGGCTTGGAACGTTTGTCTACTCTTGATCGAACTCCACATTGTAACAAGCCGTTTGGATGCAGCTCTTGCTCTCATAAATTATGTCGAAAGTCAATTCATCTGTTCTACGGACTCATCGAAATTGACTTCACCACCAATACAGGAAGGCCCATCAAAAGGCATTACGATTAAAGAACTGAAGGAGAAGAAAAAAGACAACATAGAATCATCGAATGATTTATTCAGGCAAAAGTTATTGAAGTATAAGGCGAGGGTATATCTATTGCTTCAGCAACCAAAATTATGTAGGATGGAGTGGAAGCTTCTCCTTACTCTAGGGACACCAGTGGTGAGTATCGCAAGTACCGTTACCAACTCAATTGTTTCAATCATTCCCTTTTTTCTGTAGAGCATCTCAACAATATTTCTTAAAGCGCATTTGGAGTATATGAGAGGGAATTTCAAAAAGTCGTTGAAGCTTCTCAATTCCGCGTCAGACAATTTAGAATATAGGTAAGTAATATAAAAATGTTAATTCTGGAGTGTATTCATTAATCAAGTAAACAAATGATTGAATATTTTCAGAAAATCAAAAATTCCGTTTCAACCGTTCGAACCATATTTATTATATTTATAAATTTTCAGTCAGAACAAAGAAGAGCACGATTCTTGATTTATTTAGGAAAACCCGAAAAAAACACGAGTCGTGAAACAAGTGAAAACTGAAGTGTTCTTTAAGGGGTCTCCTGAATAATTCCCTCCACAAAACTACAATGTGCTTGCGAACTGAATAAGTCATATAATAATGAAGAATGGTAGAAGGAAAATTGTAAAAAAAACTGCGTGGTTTTCTCGTTTCGTTTGTATTTAATTAATTATTCAAATTTCTGCTTATACATGGGCTCTATGAACGCTATTTTATCTGTTACCCCATACCCTGTTGACAATGTGCTACTCAGTAAAGGAATAGTACATTACGCAACTAGTGCGGAAAGCAGGCGGTTACTGTCCGGATACCGCCTGCTGTCCGCACGTGTTGCGTATACTATTTTATATGATAAGTGCGTGATGAAGTCTGGGGGGGAGGGGGGG